GGGAAGAGAGATCTTCATAAAAAAACCAGTCTTTTCTGTTCAAGATTTTCTGGGTATCCTCAATTTCTCTATTTGTTTGTGCTTTCATCAAATTGAAAAGAGGGTTTTAGTGGGGTGCTGTGGTTTAGGAGCATTTCTTTAAGGTGCTTGTGCTGAAGGGGAAACTGCAGATCTCATTCATATGAGGAGATATTCCATTGTAAGTTGTTTCATCACTGCTTTTCCGGTTTCTTTTAATTTCCAGTTTCTCTGTTTAAATTGGCCTTAAACTGTTCCTCTTTTCTCTGCGAGCAACAACACCAGGACCAGGTGTTTGAACAAGATCTGAACTGAATAATTAAATGTATTGTGCAGTTGATTTGCACATTTTGTAAGATTGATTAAGAAAATTTATGGGATCTGAATGGGTTACGGATGAAGCTGGTTGCTTTTCTCTTTTTTTTTTTTGTTTTCTTGTGAGAGTTTTAGGGGGGCAGAGAACTGAGTCTTGTGTAACTTAAGCGCCCTTCTTTGTCTGTGCCTTTCCTTTGCATGTTCTTCTTTGAGCAAAATATACCTTAACTGATCAGCTTTTCTATCCATCAGTTGGTTCTGTGTCATAAATCTGTGAGAATGACTTTTTTCCATGACTAACTGAAAAGCTACTGACTTGCTAGATGCTACTTTCATTTGTTTTAGGATTTGCCATCTTTTTGTTTCATTTGATTAAATTGCAATTTCTTGTCTTTGTTTTATCTTTAAATCAAAGGGAGATGAAAACATGAATCTAATTAGACTTCGGTCTTAAACTGCTGGTTCTGTTTTTGATAAATTTTAGAACATTTCCTTCCAGCTAGTGGATGTGCTGCTTCTACTTGCATTTTTCAGTAGTGCTCCTTGGTCTGCCATGGCCAGCTCACATTGCAGGCAGACCAATTCAGGGGAGATTCGGCCTCACAGTGTCACCATTACTGAATTTGGTGCAGTTGGTGATGGTGTCACTCTGAATACAAAAGCATTTCAGAATGCCATATTCTATCTGAATTCATTTTCGGACAAGGGTGGAGCCAAGCTTTTTGTTCCTGCTGGCCGGTGGTTAACTGGAAGCTTCGATCTCGTCAGTCACCTAACTTTATGGTTAGATAAAGATGCAGTAATTCTCGGATCGACAGTAAGCCCTCTTTTTCTCATAAAACCTCATTTGTATGAGGCACAGATAATTATTGCAATTATGTTGCATGTTCTGTCTCCTTTCCATTCACTCCTTCATGATCAAGTCATGGCTAAAATTTGTTAGCAAAAAAGTTATAGCTAAAAATAGTTGCATAAAGTAGTTAAGTTGTTCTGTCCTGGAAAATTTGCATTCACCTATTTTATAGTGATTTAGGATCTAAATACTGTTTTGATATTGCAAGAGGAACAACTAATCTGTCATTGTTGCTGCTGTTGCTTGTGCAATTGCTCTCTCAAATCTTAATGTGGTTTGATGCCCCAGGTTTAACTTGGTGTTGCTGTCACAATCTCATAACCACAGGTATTTCATCTTAATTCATATCACTAATATATCTAGCATTGTTTCAGAATTCTGATGATTGGCCAGTTGTTGATTCCTTGCCATCATATGGCCAAGGTAGGGAATTACCAGGGGGAAGGCATCGAAGCCTCATATATGGACAGAATTTGACAGATGTTGTCATAACAGGTTGGTAATGTTTGAGAAGAATCATCTTACTTTTTTTTTTTTTTTGCGCCCCCTTTTGGCTTGATGGCACTGATTCTCCAAACAAGGTGATAATGGGACAATTGATGGCCAAGGCAGCATCTGGTGGAACTGGTTCAGAAGTAAAACCCTGGACTATACGCGGCCCCATCTGGTTGAGTTGATGAACTCAACAGGGATAGTAATATCAAACTTAACCTTCTTGAATTCTCCATTTTGGACAATCCACCCAGTCTACTGCAGGTTTGTTCTCTCTACAATGAAAAACATGAAATTATCTTCCTGGTTTGTTGGAGTTGAGTTCATTTTCATTACCGCATTAAAATTGTCAAGAGTGAAAGCATTTATGAATTAGGGGGAGAGTTGAGACTGTTTTTCTGGATGAACAGCCATGTTATTATCCAGAACATCACAATCCTGGCTCCTCTAGATTCACCAAACACGGATGGGATTGATCCAGGTGAGCTTTGTCCAGAAAATTCTTAGAATGTGATTAGTACATGACAATAATCTTACTAACAGAATTGACTTCCAAATCTCTATTTTTCCTTATTTTCCAATTTACTTATCATTATTAGTACCATTTTTTGAATGCATCCAGATTCTTCAGATGCTGTTTGCATTGAGAACTGTTATATTAGCACTGGTGATGATCTAATTTCCATCAAAAGTGGATGGGATGAGTATGGTGTTTCCTTTGGTCGTCCCAGTAGAAATATTACAATCCACAAGCTCACTGGACACAATATAAATGGCTCTGGTATTGCCATCGGAAGTGAAATGTCTGGAGGTGTGTCTGAAGTTCATGCAGAAAACCTCTATTTTTTTAATTCGAGCACAGCTATCATAATAAAGACAGCATCTGGAAGGGGTGGTTATGTGAGAAATATCTATATATCAAACGTGACATTGTCTAATGTAGAGACTGCTCTAAGGTTCTATAGTAATTTTTCTGAGCATCCAGATGACTACTATGACCGAAAAGCTCTTCCTGTAATAGAAAGGATTACAGTTAAAGATGTCACAGGAGATAACATAAAAGTTGCAGGCTTCCTTGAGGGTATAGAAGGGGCCAGTTTTCGCAATGTTTGCTTGTTGAATGTTACCCTCAAAGTAACTTCAGAGTCCCCATGGACCTGCTCTTACGTTCAAGGATATTCCGATTCAGTTTCTCCAGAACCGTGTAAAGCTCTGAAGAAAATACCAGAGGATGTCTCAGATTGTTACAGTCTATCAAATTACTTGTGGTGTTTAAGAACTCAAAAGAGAAATTCTTGGTTGCATTCTTGGTAAATAACAGAGTCACAATGTTTGCTTTGTATGGCCTTGTTTCATGAAGTTTCAATTTTAGATGGAATTTTGATTCTTGCCATTTCTCAACACAACTGCAGATCACCTTGCTGAGGAAATGATGCCAAACCTAAATTGAGAGGAATGGCATATACATGGTTCTTGACTTGTGAGACGGTATTGAAAAATGATTGTTTCTTGTAATTTTGTGTGCAGTGATAAATAATCCAGTAATTTGTTGAAGAAATGAAAATAGAATGAGCTTATTTCAGTGAAATAACTCAGCCGCAATTTTTCCTCCTTGATTTATACTGAAATTTCAATAGATGGAAAATGCTAAATTATGTTATAGCCAGCACAATTCTGTGGAATTGCTTGAGGTTGTGCATCTTTGAGATTGTCTAAGAAAGGGCCTTTTCCTGCAAGGTTGCTTCTCTTGTAAAAAAGGTGAAGGCAATTTCCATTCTTTGGAAGGATGTATTTTTCACTGTCTATTTCTGTACCGTACTGGATATTGCTTTGTGAAAAAGGGAAAATCTTGCTATGTCTATATTCTTCGAAGTGTTTAATTGTTTGGCCAATCTGAAAAGCTTTTTTTTTTTTTATAGATACTGTAGTAATAAATGGCATACATATCTAAAAACCAAAGAATCTTTCTCAAAGGCTGAGAAACAGAGAAAATTTCTATCTTGGGGATGCCTCACTGCCATCCTTTTTTATAACAGAACACAAGACTTGTCTTGAAATGTATGTCTCAAGATCCCGGGAAACATCTGTTAACTTCAAGTCAAAATTACTTCTGTACTTCTGCTTTGGTGACGGCACAACACTGGAGAACATGGTTGGAGAACCAGAAAAACGCCTTCTAGGGCTTGTTAACCTTCCTGGTGATCCTTGAAGCCTCCCTTTGGAAATGAGAGGCGTGGAGGCTGATCCTGGATTAGCCACATTCCTATCTGGATTCACCAGCGGTCCTCGTTTGGTCTCCAATGGCAGTGGCTTCAAAGAATCAAGTTCCCCCACTTGCTTCTGTTTAACCAGCCTTTCTCTTGCCTTCTCAGCTGCTAGAAGAGCTTTCTCACTACTTAGCTTTATCAGTGTCCATGGATTAATGCTTACGTGGAAGCCTTGTTTCTTGTTGGCTAAGCTTTCTCTCTCTTCTGCTTCAGGATCTTTGTCGATTCTTATGGACAACTTCGAGTTATTCTGGTTTACTCTTTGACCTCTGCATATAAACTTTGACATAAATGTTGATTTCTCAGGTGAATCAAAATCAGTGCTCTCATCAGATGAACTGTCTGAATCATCAAACGGATCTGATCCGAACTGGCTCTCTTCTCTCATTGCCAGTATATAATCATATGTCCTCATTCCCTGTAACAATTATCAAGAAGATCATAATTTACATTATAAGATGCTAGATTAACAAAAAAAAAAAAAAAAAGTTTCCAAAAATATAACTAGGTGACATGTTACCTTCCTTATAAGAACTACATGAAAGAAGAAAAGCTGTCCCATTGCTGCTGAACCATAAGCAGTAAATAAAACCAACAGAATCTGTCAAAAAAGAATGATCATCATCATTTCAATTGAATTGCAGTGAATGGTTGTCCAAGTTGAGAAAGATAACCAAACATTACTGATATTGTGGCAAGAACAGCACGCGGAAACTCTACATAGAGCCTTTTCTTGAGTTCTTGCTCTATTCCTTTCTTATCTGTAAAGCACCTGACAAATATAGCAATGGCAGTTCCTCCTTCTATAATTAGCTGCAATGTTAAAAATTTGATTGGAATGGTGAGCATGAAACAAAAGAAAAGGTAGCATTTGAAATTTTGGATGTCAAAGAAATTGAACTCACCATTAGCAGCACAAAAACCATTAGAAGAATAAATGTTGTGTAATTCCTTTTACCTACGCAGTTGTTTAGCCACTGATTCACACAGGAAAGAAATGCATCAATATACAGCAATTCTCTTCTCAAATCAAGTAAAAACCCTTCAATCCTTACCCTGCAATGGTGATCAAACCCTTCAACACATCGGTTGCAAGTCCTACAGTGCTTGCTATGCCTTTTCACCTGAGATAAAAGTAAACCAAAAAAGTTTTCTTTTCCACATTAGAATATACATTTGATGATTTGAATTCTATCTTTCTTTCATATTCATTCAAGAAACCTATAAGTAGCACAAAGGCAAACCTCGAAATCGCATAGTGAGCAATAGGAGATGTCATCCTCTTTCAAGTCAGGTGAAATTGCATCATCTTTCATGACAAGGGGAAATGGGAGCAATGGCTCCATTTGAACATCAGTTTTCACTGGATCAAGATATTTCCTCCTTATAAAAGTCCTAAGAATCTTTCTCTCCAGCCTCCTAAAAAACCTCACAGCAATCTGGCTCAAAATAAACCCATAATTTAGCTTCAAAACCCCTTTAGATTTGCCCTTTCTCTTCTTCCTAGAGCTGGTTTTATCCGAGGGATCGATTGCAGCACACCTAATGAATAGCAACATGACTGAAAATGCCTGAGATTAAAAGCAAGAAAAATCTTAGGACTCAGCTGAACTTCAAATTGTTAAAATAAGAAAATGGGTTCAATCAAAATTGTTCCTTTAAGACATTACCACAAAGGAAAAGATCGAAGTGACTGTGATCTCTGCAATTCTGTTCCCAAGGAAAAGGCCGAGGAATGTATAAAAAGCCACAACCAGAATACTGTACACTCCCATCCCCACAAACTGAGATTCAACAACAAAATCGAATTGATTCAATCCCATTACAGTGAAAAATAAAAAGATTTTAACACATGGGTATTCACAAATTCAGCTCAGAAATCATAATTTACAAATCAAAGTTCCAAGTAGATGATTTCAAATTGACAGAAATGACTTCACCTGCAAAGGGTGGAGGGGTCGCTGCCAGCCATGGCGTCTTGCAAATCTCATTTGTTTAAAGTCTGCAGATTTTGAAATCCAAACAAACGGAGCTCTTTTGGGTGAATGTAGATAATTTTAGCAGATACCCATGAAAATGTAGTTCGGAGCAAAAGGGAGTTAAGACATGTTCTGTGTTTTTTCTTTTTTTGTTTTTTTCTTTTTTTTTAATGTTTCATCTTGAAGTTCACGCGAACATGAGGGCATTCCCCACCAACGGTCGAATTTTCGGGGTTTTGAAATTTGAACGGCGGCATCTTCTGCAGATCTGGCTAATCCGACGGCTGTGAATGCATGATCACTGTTTTGCGCGTGAAAAGACGAAAATGTGTGGGGCCGAAGACAATGGACTATGGGTTTTGGATAACTGGGCCGCCGCCTTCCCAACCTGTAGTTTGGATTGGGTTTGGATTCTCTACGATGTCGTTTTAGGGTAATTGATGGGCCCGTAAACCCATATGCTCAACAAAGTTGGATTTAGGGCATGTTTTGGCACTCTATGGTGATTTTTCATTTCTTCTTTTTCTTTTTCTTTTTCTTTTTATTTTATAGAAAAATTTCATGGGCATTTTAAATTTGATTATGAACTAATCCTAAAGATTAAGTTCTTAATTGATAAAAAAAACTGTAAAGTCATTAATAATAGTTTTGTTAATTAAATATTAAATTGACATCTTAAATTCTGTTGTGTCTACATATTATAACAAGTAAATTAATATTGGTACACGAGCACTTAGCATGACATGTAAAACACAATTTAAGTAGAAACTATTCCTATCAATTGGTGAAAATTTTGTATGTGCCAAAAAAATGGATGAAAATTTTATACGTTTTGCTTTTCTTCTTGGGCTTCATCATTCTGCATCCTCAAGGAAAGTTTGGCAGCACCTTGGAGTTCCTCCAAACCCTTCAGTAGACATCAAAAGCAGTACTTACAGCTTAAGTGAAAAGCCGAATTAGGATTTAGGATCACTGAAGAAGTGTGAAGGAACTCATGGCCGCACCAAACAAGCACTATTTCTGCCACTTTATTTCTCTGTTTCCCTAAATTAACATGATTGATGTGTATATTTTATATGGTAGTTAGATTTAACTATTAGCATTGAACTTCAAGATTGTGTTATTCCACTGATTATGTCATGGGCGAAATGAACAAAGACCTTTTGTCGTTCTGGTGCGTGACCTTGCAGCCAAGTTCAATGTATTTGGACATTAATTTGCTTAATTTTTGTGCTTCTGGGGTCGAATCTTACCTTCACCGATAAGGTTGCAGTCTGAAGATCTTTCGAAGGAATCATATATATATATATATATATATATATATATATGCCACAAGTTGATGGCAATGGAATTGGTGCACACTTTAAGGTTCAACAATGTTTCATGATATGTACTTATTTAATCAAGTTTGAAATGGAAGGTTTAAGATGAAAGGAAATAAAGTAATGGTTAATCCTGGATTTGGTAAAAGAGGAAGAAATTAAGAATGCCTCAATCAAAGAAATAAAAGGGCAAAGAAACAAAAGATGAGTCAAACTATATATCTTTTCTACTTGGATTTGGTCAAGGAAAAGGAAGATTTGCTAACAACCTTTTCTTAAAATAAAAATAAGAAATTTTGAATTTGAGTAAAATATGATATGTAGGTAAAATGAGAGTTGAGGGATAAAAAATAATATCTCTTTATTTTTAGAAGTTTATCTAACTTGTATTTTAGGCGTATAATAAATATATATTTTTTATAATTAATTTATATAAAAAATTATAAAAAAAATTAACATATATTTTAACATCAATGACACATGGATAATTTTAATTGATTAATTGATTAAATTGAAATCAATATTTATATTTTCAATGGAAATTAATTACAAGAAAATATATTTGTTACACTTTTATTCTATACTTAAGGACATAGGATAAAAAAACCCATTTTTGTATTATATAACTCAAAATTAAAATAAGAAGGTTTTCTTTTAGCATTTCCTATATAGGGTTAGGGGAAATGAGAAGGGCTTGGAATTGAACATGCTAGCTACTAAGTCCAAATGAAGACAAAACTTTAGTTAGTCCAACTGATGACAAAACTTTAGTTGACTCTAGCTAGTATCTATCTCTTTTTTTCTTTTTTTTTTTATTCTAGCTAATATGTATCCTTGAAGGTATGTCCAAAATATACAATTATATATTTTGATATTTTCAATGCAAAATTTGGTAATAATAAAGCATGCACTATGGCTTATAGGCCAATTGAAAAAGTGCCCTTTCCTAGCCGACAGCTCGACTCAACTCCCTCCTCTTTAAATTAAAAAAAAAAAAAAAATCAAAATTTGGTAAGAGAGTGGAAAGATTTGAGAGGGACGCTAGTTGACACACCTGGCGAGGCACATCTCATAAAACATATATCTTTAGGCTGATTTAGAAATATGAGGTGAATACACTCAACCTTATATCCATTCATCCAGTTATTCCTTATTTGTGATTCCAAACATACATCCATAAGAACCTCAATATTAGTCTAGTTTACTTCTGCATTAGAAACAACAATTTTACTTCTGCATTAGAAACAACAATTTTACAGGGAAGGTGCCTCACTTAAGATCACTTTTGCACCAAGGGCCCACAACATTTTTAAGAAACCCTAATCTTTGTGGATTTCTGTTGGAGATTAAATACCTATATGCTAAAAACCTAAGAATCGAAAACCCACAAAACCCAAGATCCCCGACCCTAGCTTTTTTGGAATGGGTGAGGATGGAAGGAAGGTGAAAACAAGGTCGGTGATAGTTTCACTAATTTTCGATGTATTGTTGGTAATTGATGTTATTTTGATCTCAGTGTGACTGTTTTGGAGAAAATGGAGGTTAGGGGAGGGCAATCGATAAGATTTCATCAATTTAATGGTAGAATTTGAAGGGATCAATTGGGTTCTAGATAGTAACTACCAACAAAGAATTTTAAGGGACTTGGAGGGATTGATTGGGTTGGGAACAATAACCGCTAACAAGGAATTTCAAGGGACCAAATGGATGCCAGAAAATAGCCCAAGACAATTGAGGGATAAGTTTTTAACACATGACAAACCCTATTAAACTATATTTTGTGTACTGAATTGGGTGTGTGTAAACCAAATGTGTCAATTAGGGGGGTAAACATATTATTTCCCATTTGAGAAACGAGACGATTCATCTGTTATATATAAGTCACAATTAAATGGTACTAAAAATTTACAAAATGAAGGTGTAAGTGGTTTCTTTGGGCAAAAATTTTGTATTTTGGAATTGACAGAACTCTTCAAATACAAATAGGATAATGATTAGTGCATATTTTGATTCAACACATTTTATAATATACTTATTAAGAAATTATTATTTTTAAATTTAAATTCAAGACGAAAAAAATTTCACTTACAAAATTTAATGATTAAATCGATAAATATTGACAGATATATTAAACTGGAAGATGCACTAATCATTACTAGACAAATATACCTTAATTAATTTGATCTCAATCTTATATAATCCAACATGCATTGAAGAGAAAAAAAAGTACTATACTTTTCTTCCCTAGCTATAGTAGTTTTAAAACTCGATCCTTACACCCCTCCCCCCCACCACAAAAAAAAAAAAAGAAAGAAGATAAACGAAACAAAATTAAAGAATAACAAATGCTTAACTGATCAAGGACATATACTTCCTCTCAGTTAACCTTGAAAATAAAGTGAATATTTCCATTTTCACTATACAAGTGCACCTGATCTTCATAAAACTTAGTTTTTGTAACAACGCAAAGCTTTCTTACTTTGGCACATAATAGCACTCTTAAACCATGCTCTAAGTTTTCAAACTGCTTATTACAGTGTGTGTACCAGCTGCAGTACACATACAATAATACTGTGTACGTAGACAACAAAAGGTAATGTCTGCATCAAAACTCTAAAAAATTCAGTGGTACTTATTACCTAATTAAATTTGCAGCAGCGTATATGTGCTCGTAAGATTCATCCTAGATCAAATCTGTTTATCTCCATTTCATAAACTGATGATCATATTGGATTGATATCTATAGCTCAGGCCTCTAAGGCACCCGTTAGTTAAACACATACGGGTTATCCATCTCTCAAAACAACACAACTACTGCCTGAAGCTAGCAAACGAGAAAAATGATCCCAAAACTTTAGTTAGTGGAGAGAGTGGTGCAAGACTGAGGAAGTTGAGGGGATCCAGGCACACCAAGCACTGGAGCAGCATTGTTGTTTCCACCATTGTTGTTAATATTCCCATCGCCACTCCTTGGTGCTCCTATAATTGTGGAAATGGCTGCTGCTAAGGCTGTAGTGAAGTTTGGATCAGAAGCAATAGCTGCGGTAACTGTTTCAACCATGGATGCATGTCGTTGCCCTAACTGCGCTGTTGGCAAACCGTTAGGCAACTTGGGAGGAACAAACACCGGTTGCCCTAAGAGATGAGGATAACCATGGAGAGACAACGGAAATGTCGCCGGCGGAGGTGCAGGACGTAAAAAAGGGATAGAGTTTGGGCCCTGGGTTAGGTCTAGGGTTATGGTGGGAAATGGAGCAGAGGCAGATAGGGTTGCCATTGTTGATGCATAGGGCAATGGAGGGAAGTAACCAGAATTTACTAGGCCACTTTCCTTGCTGGTAGTTGAACCTGACAGCAGCATGGCCGCTGCAGCCGACGTAGTGTTTGCCATTGCTGTGGCTGCTGGAGGAAGAGGGTGATTATGATTTCCTTCGTATGTTGTGATGAGAATTGTTTTATCCTCAGCACATCTTTGCACCTGTCAGAAGTATCAAATTTGAACCTTTAGAAGAAAAATTGATTCAAAAAAGCATCAGTTCACAGATGTGATGGTCATATCTTAATCACATCTCTAGCTAGGACGCGAGTCATGAGTTATATAAGGAGACATACCTAGGAAGGATACACAAACCCTTTTTTTTTTTTTTTCTTTTGAACAGAAGGATTCATAAACTTGATAGCTTAAATTTTTGCATTTATATATATTTATAGATAACTGGTACCTGTTTAATGAATTATCACTACTGGGAGGTTTAAATGTTTAATGAGGATGCTTTAAAATTGTTTTGATTGAGTTATGCACATGTGAAGTGCAAGTTAAGAATTGTAATGGATTTGGGTACCCTTGTACGGGTGAAATAAAATATTTTGCAGATTAAAAAAAAACTGGCACCTGTTTCCGAACTGGGCATCCAACAGCCATGGTGCAGCGATAGTAGGCACGTGGACAAGGATTACCCTTGGCCATCTTTTGACCATATTTTCTCCATTGACATCCATCACTGATCTGTTCAACAAAAAGCTATACTGTTTAATTCCAACATATATATATATATACTCTCTTCAAAAGTTTTTTTTGAAGCAAATATGTGCCTGCAGTAATCTAATTGCTTAATTACCAGCGGAGCTTCCGATCTAGCTCTAACAGACACCCTGGCTTTCCTGAAAGGTACCTCCGGAGCTTGTTCATCATCTTTTCGACCATGATCTAAATTGGTAGGGCTATTTGCGGACCCCAGATTCTGGGAAGTTTGATCGGTAGTACCGTCTTCGATGGGAACTTGTTTCCCTGACATCTGAATTCTTTGAAAGTCATGTTCTCTTGACATAACTTCCATAGTGTTTGCCGGAGAAATTGACAATTCTTGCGTGGTCTTATCCTCGGATGCTGAAGGTTCATTGACATCCAATGGAGCAGATGCTCGTGGTCCCATCAACTGGTGGGCCGATCCTATAGGACTTGACTTCCCATTTGCATCTTTCTGCTGGAAAAAAAAAAAAAAAAAAGAAAGAAAAGAAATCATTACTTTGATTATCATAAACCAGCTGGTTTATGAGGTAACTGAGAAAACCGAATCTCAACCTAATACATTAACAATTGTTGGATCTTCTTCCAAACTAAACTATTATGAACCCTAGATGGAAAATTTCTTATTCTAAGTTTACTAACTCCGATGAGGCTTTAGTCAACAGCAACAAATTAAAACTGATCAAATTGGCCAATTAAGAAATCTGCTAATAAAATACTGAATTTGTGAAACAATGATTCTAGATCGAGGTGCACATTTTCCAATTTATGTGAAGCACGTTATTAACAATTTTTATTTTAAACATAGCTACCTTTTTTTTTTTTCCTTTCTCCGTCGGGAAGGTACCTTTTTTTTTTTGGCTCAAAATTCAAAGATATTTTCTTCTTCATGATGCTTTATACAGTATAAAGTAAAATTAAAATCTTATTAGTCTAACTTTATACCATGTATTTGATTTTCTTTTCTAGTTAGGAAGAAGTTAATATGAAAAGTTATTTTGTAGAAATTTGACTCTTTAATCTCGATTTAAAACTGAAGCTAAAACTCATCACCTGTGCCTGTCTTTGCATTGCAAGAAATTGACCATGTAGATCGCTGTAGTTTTTGGTGATCTGATCTAGCATGCTTCTCAGCTTCTGATTCTCTTCATGTAATCTGGCTAACTCCTCTTGAACATTACTCAGCTGAAAACCAAATTCCGTAAGCAGACAGGAGAAATTAAAATTAAAA